AGGCAGGCTCCATTCACAGAGTCACCTGTGTGATGATCCATGACTGTCTGAATGCTGTTTTTATCCAGGTCTACTGGAAGAGTTCGGGCAGTTTGTCATCTAATGAGTCTGCCCAGGCAGAGAGACAGAGCCTGAATCTCACTGCGCTCAAGATGATAGAGAGCGAGGGGGGCTTCCCTGAGTCTGCTACACTGATGACAATTCCTGTAAAGCCAAGTGCAAACTGCTCTGACAGCGTGGCTAATTTTACAACATCTCTCCTATCGTTCCTTCGCTTTTACTCTTTCATTTTCTCCCTCCACTGTCTCTTTCACTCTTCTCTCTCTCTTGAGAACGCACGCACACACACACACACACACACACACACACACACACACACACACACACACACACACACACACACACACACACACACACACACACACACACACACAGTCCTTGCCTGAAGGGCTCTGTCCATGCGATTAAGGAATCGTTGGATCTGATTGGCTAATATTTTCACCACAGGAAATCAAAAGGATCTGAACAAGAAGAATGGAGTCTCTCATGTGTACTTCCTCCTTTTAGTTAGGATCTGTTTCAGATAATGAGCCGAGGCACATCTTCTGGCTTTCATGGAGGCCCGAAGTTTGACCTGATTGCACAGTTCGACATAATGGAAATATGTAGACAGTAGCCAGTTGTAAAAGATGAGGTATTACACTTACCATGGCTTTGTGCTGGAGTGACAGTTTTTGTTTTTTTCATATGAAGAAAGTTCATTTTCTTTCCACAATTCAGCAAAGTGATATAACACGATCATGCAAGCGGTTAAGTTTTCTATTATGCTGTGCTTGTTCTTGAATTTCCCCTTGGGATAAATAAAGTATCTATCTATCTATCTATCTATCTATCTATCTATCTATCTATCTATCTATCTATCTATCTATCTATCTATCTATCTATCTATCTATCTATCTATCTATCTATCTATCTGCTAAAGTGTCTGGTAGGGTTTTCACAGGAAAAGCTCAGGAAACACAGGAGAGTCTCACAGGAGGGGATATATGATGCTTGAGCAGCGATAGCCACCCTTAATGAACAAAAATAAGATTCACCACAAAATTCACAAATAGACCGAAATGTGTAAATTCACACTTTAAACTCAGACTATAGCGTCACATCACATGGCTCTTCATTTCCCAAGATTATCTTTTGTCAGTTGATTTATCATCATTAGGCATTAGACAAATAGACTCTAATATAACAGTACGAGGACAGAAGCGTCATAAAGTCAGTGAACTGACTCAGTAATATCAGTTACAGCAATATTTCAAGTTAACAATAGCTAACATTAGCCACCAGTAGCTACGGGTCATACAAGACCAAGTAAGGCTGTAGAAGTAAACTGCCTGAGTGTATTGATTTGACAAGGGTGGATTGCTTATGAATTAAACTTTTCACACTGTTTGGTTACAGATTTCCTTGTCACACAATTAATGGACAACAGTCTCTTACCAATATATGATTTACAGCCTTACAGTTTTATGCTCATCTGTTGGCTTTGGCTTTGTATCCTGCCTGTGGGTATTTGACAGTTTGAAGCTCAACACACCCATGGTGAAGAGCTGCTGCTACATCTTTAAGCATGCTGACAAATAAGAGCAATTAGACACAAAGCAAACCTGAGGGGATCCCAGGCATATCCAATCATCTCTCAACCTTCCCTCACCGTATGACTGTAATATTTGGAGTTTTAAAAAACAAAATGCCATAAATGTGGAAAGGAAGCTTCATAACCGACTCCCTATTTCCTACCTGTCCCAAGCTTTACTGTATGTGTATGTGCTGAAACAACCTCATTTTCTTGCTCCAGGGAGGAAACAGAGAATAACCTGTCACACACAATGACAGGTGTCTAAACACATCTCAAGAAAAAAGAAGTGTATGCAGACTCAGAGAGGAACACACCTGGGTACAGTAGCTAAAGGCCAGTGTGTGTGTTTGTGTGTGTAGAAAACTGAGACAGAGCACGACAGGAAGTAGAGCAGCAGATAATAAGCAGGGAGAAAGATGCAGTGTATGACTGTGTGTGCATATTCACATGTACTTCTGCAGGAGATGCATGCATTTTAGTCTCATCACAGAGATCAGAGTATTAGGACACCGTATTGCAGGGTGAGTGCATGATGATGACTTTAAATTAACCTGTGAACGGTACAATGTGGGGTGATAGCAACTGTCTAGTTATGTGTTGCATGAATGGCACCCTCAGAGGAGATCTGAAAAGATTGAACTAAGCAGGTACCATCTGAGTCACAGCGAAAAGCGTCAAGAAACAGAGTAGAGAGAGACAGCAGAGCAACAGTAGGAACAATTGCCATTCTTCTCCTCTGCTTAAGCCTCTTTCATATTGCGACACAGAGGAATTATAGCGCAGAGACTAGGTCAGCCACTTATCCATCTCATCCAACAATGCAACACGCCGCAACTCCACAGCAATTACTGCTCGGCTGGAACCGCTGCCAGAGCACGTCCACATCTTCTGGTGCTGATGCCGTTTCAAGTGCAATGACAATCATAAATGGATACTGTCAAAATAACATAAACAGAAAAAGAAAAAATATTCACATAAAGCGGAAAGCAGAACTACACCTTAAAGTAAAAAAATATGAAATTTTGCCAGATGTTCAGGCAAACCTGCTCATGCTCTGCTCCTTCTCTGCAGAGAAATGTGATAGTCGAGCGAATTTGGATGGATTCATACATTTCACACCCACTTGTTAATTAAACCTATCCTCATATGCCTGTACCAACACAAAGCAACGAAACGTGATTAGATACCGAAACAAAAGACAAGCTTTGGAAATGTTTCTGGGTAAAATGGCATTAGCCCTGGTCTCATTCTGCACCAGTTAGACAGCGTACATAATCAGGATTAAGTTTAGCATGATGAGGAGAGAGAGAGAGGGAGGGAGCGAGAGAGTGAGGAGAGAGTGTCATAGGAAGACAGAATTCACCCTTAAAGTCCTGGTGACAGACTGGTGTATAGTGATTACCATGTAATAAATGCACAAGAAGCACTTTTGTTTCCACATTGAATAGAATTGTTCTAACCCACAGGATTTCCTTTAGTCCAGATGTGTGTTCATAAATATTCCAGCTGAAAATAAATAGCTGGATACTATTTATGTATGCTGAAGATTGTGAATGATAAGCTTTCAAAATTCTTGGTGCAACAGTGCCTGGCAGTACAAAGAATGCTGGGATATGTTAGGAGTAAGTTACCCTGTCTACATTGGTGGTTTATGTGCATTTGTTAAGATGTACATATGTTGTCTGTTGTGTTATTGTACAATGTTCTTGTTAGATTAAAATATAGATGATAAATATGCGCAGTAAGGTTATTTTGTATTGCCATGTTATTTATCAGGAATAATATTTAGACCTCACTTATACTATGTGTATAATTAATGTGATGGTGTGTGGAAAGAAATTCTTTTGGCTTCTTGAATGGTTGGATGGTTGGCACGAATACATAACCCCTGATGAAATCATTTTGGGATTGGAGACAAAACAATATTTTGGACAGATGTGGACGGCTGGTGAGTTTAACCCATACTAGAGACTAGAGAAAGTCAGAATATTTTAGCCTCAGCTGCATTAAATTTGACAATTCAGTCTTTAAATCTGTCTCTCTCGAATGCCCCGTCGTGGAAATGCAATAATAAATTGCTAGATTTGCGACCTGTTATAAGGCTTTTCGTGATTAAGACTGCAACTCTTCAGAATTGAGGTTGCTGTTGATGCCTGATGACGATCAGCACATTTCTCGGATACTTCCAAGATGTGAAGGACAGAAGGATTTTCTTCACACTCACACTTTGGTAAAGTGAGAACATGCTGAAGCTCACCAGGGTTTGAATAATTTCTCAGTGTGGTGTGAACACACACACCACACACACACACACACACACACACACACACACACACACACACACACACACACACACACACGCTCTTCTTGGGGTGTGAAGCATCAGGAGTTAAGTAGACTCTCGTACCCAGAGTCCCTGCCTCTTGTCCATCACTGGTCGGAGAACTGATGTAAAGGAAGAAGGAAGGATTGAACTCCATGATAACAGATTTATCCAATGTGTTGCTAGGCAACTAATCCTGGCAATATGATCTGAGCTTTTCTGCCAACATTTTTACACATTCCAAAATGAACTGTAGCACCTGGTTTCTAGCTCCCTCTGTAGTCTATTTAACAGCACAACACGTATATTTGGCTACATCTGTTAGATCTGATTGCTCAGTGAAGCCCTTTAGAAAAAAACAGGGGCTGTAAAAAGGCTCCTGATTAGTTATTCTTCTTTGAACATCATGAGCTCAAACTAAAAGCTGTTTAATACATGGCTAACCTGATGGGTCAAACGACTAATTACTATTTTAATGAATATAAATAAGAAAATACGAAATACATAATAAATATAATTTGTATTTTAGTAAACTACAAGTCTACTTCTTATGTTTTTCTACTTCTATTCTAAATTAGTATTTTATTACTAATCTGTATATGCATACAGTATATTTTACACTTGCTTTGGAAATGTAAGCACCTATTTCCCATGCCAATAAAGCTCCTTTGAATTGAAAAAAATAAGAATAATAATGAAAATAAATATATAATACAGAAAATACTTTTAAATAATCAACTGATACACTGAATTTCCCTTTCAGTGTAGATTTATGTGAATACAGTTTCTTATACTATATGACAATCTCATTGATTTTCGCAATTGTGGGGATGTACTTTATCTCATTACTGATCAGTTATTCAGAAAAGTGTGAATCCTACCTCATTACGACAATAAAAGACAGATCTGAGCAGGCCAAACAGTTAAGTCTTAAATAAACATCATGGAGTTCAACATTTCTTTGGCCCTTAGATTACGCCTACGCTACATTGTGAACCCATTAGAAATTTTCTATGAAGAAACAAAGGCATATACATTAAATAGGATGTACATTTTTTATTCTTATATGAATATATACTACCTTAATTTGATACTGGTAGTTGAAAATAGGTCTGCGTGTTTACATTTTAAAGTGCAGTGCAGTGTATACAAACATACCAGAAAAGCATCACCCTTGGACTGGAAAAGCAAAAGTACATTCCTGATTCCTTTCATTTCAGAAAAACTAGGATGCACTTTCATCTGATGTTTGCTTCATCGCAGGAGCTACCATATTTGTGTGACAAGTCAGTTTTAACTCAGTCAGGTGGTCAAAATCAAAATGAACTAAATAAACATAAGTGAAAAGTGCTCTGAGCTAGCTATGCTGTGCTTATCTGAAGACGATGCAACATTTTTACTGCTCCATTTCGTTATCATTCTGCAGAGTTTTCATAGCCAGACCCCAAAGAGTCACACTAGAGATAAACTGGCCCTCACTGGACCTGTAAGGCCCACTATTGGGCCTGCTAGAGGAAGTAAGTGAACTGCAGTGATTGTCTGAGGGAGGCAGGTAGGGCCTCCCCATCACACTTCTGCCCATCTCCACTGACATGTTCCCATTCTCCACATACGGACCATACACAGCCTCCTGAGACAAGTGGGGTTTGACCAGCTTCACGTGGTCACCACTTCTTTCCTGGTGGCTGGAGGAGAGGAGGTGATGGGGTACCAGCGAGCGCAGCTCTGGAAGTGGGGTGGGGGTAGAAGCTGGGCTGAGGTGCATGCTGGGAGGTGGAGTCTCTATATGTTGTGTTGGTGAAGTAGAAGGTGGTGAGGGTTTCTCTAACCCTGTATGGGGCATCATGCTAGGGAAATGCTGCTCACTGGTTGTGGCGGGAGGTTTACTGTGGCTGACGGGTTTGGGGAATGAGGTCGCTCCAACCGAGCTACGAGGCGGGTCAGAGTTGTCCGTGACCGGGCTGTTGGCTGGAGCCCCCTTGCAGTGCATGTTGCTGTGTCTCCTCAACATGGCAGAGCGGGTAAAGCTCTTTCCACAGGCGTTACAGATGTAGGGTTTCTCCCCAGTGTGTGACCGTATGTGACGCTGCAGGTCCCCCTGAGCCAATGAAGCACTTCCCTACATTAATTAAGAACACATATTGAGGGAAACACACTGTGCATTAGTTATAGTTTAAGTATAGTTATAGTAGTAGTAACTGAAATCTATCTATTTATTAGGTGGCACCTAATAAATTCACTTTGGTCAAAAGACTCTGCAGTAGTCACAGGTATTTATTTACGCTCCAGCTCTGATCAGCAGTGATGGAAACATGAAACCTGGGTGGAAATGCAACTGTTGCACCTTTTCTATTATTCATTGTTATTTTACAGTGTATAGAAGTAAAGTGCAAATGGCACATTACTGATTTTTTGGAATGGAAGCCAGTGCTGACACAGCGTGCGAGACTGGCACTGTGAGAATCAGACAGTACGATATACAACACCATATCAAAATGCTGAGTGGAAGAGGCATTACTCGCAGCCCAAGTAACAAATGCTGCTTTCTAAAGTTTCTGTTTCTACTGTTTCTGTAATGTGTAATGTGACCCGTGAGGAAAAAAACTGAAAGACAAACTCATCTAATGGGAAAGGACAATCACCTATTTTTAGCCAGTTTACCTGCATTTAAATTAAATAAAAGTCCAGAACCTGAAGATATACAGATGATATGCACATGAGATAAAGAAGAGCAGCAACTCCTTGCAACTGGGAAGCTGGAGCCATTACATTTTTAGCATTTTTATCTTTAAAAAGTGGCTTAATCATTCATTTACTTTTTTATCGATTACAGTCGAGAACACTTCCAAAGAGATCAAGACTGTTCCTTACCGCAGGTGGCACAGCTGTGTGGTTTTTCCCCAACGTGGCGGGCCTTGTGCTTCAGAAGTTTTCTGTGCGTGTTAAAGGATTTTCCACACTGGTCACAAGTGAATGTCTTGTCTGTGGCGTGAGTCCTCTTGTGCTCCTTGAGATTGCTCAAGTTGTTAAATCCTGAGCAACAAGACAAGTACAGGGAATCAAACACCAGTCTTATAAACAAAATATGTGTCACAATTTTCCAGCTGGGTCTGTGAACTACGCAACTCACACTATTATCATTTTTAAAGGTTCACCTTTAGAAGGAGACCATCAGGTAAGAACTATATAAAGATGAATTAAGGAAGTAATCAAGAAAACACTTCTGTTTAGAGCTGTCATTTACCTCGACCACATATATCACACAGATGTGGCTTCTCTCCTGTGTGGACCACTTTGTGACGATGGACATCCCCTGATGCAGTAAAACTGGAAAACAGAGATAAATATTTAATTTATGGGCAACTCTAGGGACTATTAGGGCTATGTAATATAGGGAAAATATCAAATCGCTGGGGTCTGAACTCAGATTTATTCAATTCTTACTCAGTTATTACAATATCACCACAACTTCTTTATTATTGCCTTAATATGTAAGTAAAAGACAGTATTATAAAAATGCTAAATTATTATTGGTATATCTGAAATGATGGTATATTGTTATTAATCAGTCCAAACCCCAAAGTTATTCAGTTTAATATGATAGAAAAAAGTAGAACAGTTTTTTGCAAGATTAATCGATTAATATCAAAATAGTTATTATTATTATATACCAATTATTTTTCTGTCGATCGACTTATTGTTGCAGCTCTAATGGAAGGTTCTTTACCTTTTACCACACAACTCACAGATGTACGGTTTCTCTCCAGAATGTCGCCGCAAATGTGTCTGTAAATTTCCAGCCTGTAAGAAAAATATCTGTAAGAAATCTCAAATTTTCCCAACTAAGAATAACTGTGGAAAATCTGAATAATACACCAGATGATACCTGTGAGAAGTTTCTCCCACAAACATTACACTGAAAGGGCTTCTCACCTGCAACAAAAAATGTAGTATTGTTTAAAATATTATTGAATTACAATAATTACTGAAACATTATTGTATACCTTGTGTTATTAATAGGCAATTATAAGCAGTAAATACCGGTATGTGAGCGCTTGTGCAGCTCCAGGTTGCTCGGGTGCTTGAAGATCTTCCCACACACCTCACAACAATACTGCTTGTGTCCTGTCTGCTGCGGTGGCTCTGGCACGGTCTTCAGATTTTGCTCTTCTTGGTTAACGGGTTGAGGACTGGGAAGTGGTGCGTCCGTTGCCGTCTCTGTAACTTCCTCCCTGGCTGCGTTAAGGCCCTCCACAGGAGCTTCTGTAGCTTCAGTCTGGACCACAGACTCTTCTTGGTGACTCTTTTTCTGACAGCTGAGGACGGGTTCACTGACTGATTCAGCAAACATCTCCTCCAAAGCCTTCTGAGACCGGAGATAGTTGTATTTCTTCAGGTACACAGCTTTCTTTGGGCGCACGTGCTTGTTGAGCATAGAGTCTGCTGAGTTAGAGTTGGGGGTGTTTAAATTATCGGAGGGTGTTAAAGAAGGGACAGGGTTCTTTTCCACTGCCACAGATGTGCAGGGAGGAGTGGGCTGAACCGTGTTTGCTGTGCATACAGGAGTGTGGCTGCCTCCCTGGCTGACCCCGAGCTGACACTGCTGCTCCTCCCCCAGCACCAACGGACCCGGGCCTTGATTTGACGCTGCACTATTTGTCTGAATTGCACTTTGTTTGAAGTAGTGCTTGCTGTAGAAGTTACGGAGCTTGTAGCCATGGACAAGCTGTTTTTCAACTGGTGCCTGGGTGCTGCTAGCTGTGTCGCAGTTTGAGCTGCTGTTAGGCACAGAAACAGGCATCCTTTTACTGGGGTCTACGTCACTGCTGAATCCGGGCCTCTGGGTTTCAGAGGCACAGTGGATGTCAACATCATGAGGAAGACTGCTCCCCAAGAGGCAGTCGTGCTCAGAGCTCAGCATGCCTGGAAGAGAAAATGATGGGATTTCCACTGGTGGAGGACAAGGCTTGAGGAAAGCATTACACATGCTCTGAATATTTGGAACCTGCAAATACTGAGCAATGTCCACGAGTGCTTGAACATTATCTTGGTTGATGTCAATATGGGAGGTGTACATGTAGTCCAATATTTGGCCGATGCCACCGACATCCTGGATGACCAAGTTGAACACCTCATTCTTCTGACTGGGGGAATTTTGGAACAAAGACCTGGAAAGATCAAAATAGTAGTTTTCACATGGCGTTACTCTAAAACAGAAGAGCATGATTACTTAGCGAAGTGGATGGAAATATGACACCGGTTCAATGATGTGTCACTAGGTTAAACATGTAAAGACATAAAGGCACCTGAAATGGGAGCTGAAAGCAGCCAGGACATTTTTGTGGGCTTTGAAGCAGACACCTTTGACCACCAGCGTGCAGTCACAGAGCAGCCCCTGAATCCTCTGCTCCTGGAGCTGCTGCAGCAGGTAGGAGCTGTGGCTGGAGAGGGTGTCCATGGTCACTCCGCTGCTGAACCACCCAGCTCCAACTCCTCCATCAAAAGAACTACCCAAGGGGACACATGTCAAAAACAACACACTTCTTATTAAGGAGATAGGAGTGGCCACTGTGGTAAGCTAGTCCTTGGATTGTAACCAGATTAAAAATGACCACTATTATTTTATTTCATATATATAATTCAACAACCGCGCAGAATCCCAGCGCCTGTGCTACGAGACCACCCATGCAAAAATTTGACGAAAGCCGCTAACGAGCTAATTACAGAGCTATGCTAACCAGCGGTTACGGTAAGTGTTGTGAATCGGTGCAGCGCCAATCCCCCGAGAAGAACATTTTTCAACCGGTAATGTAAATCCTAAACGCTGTTAGTTCAGCAGCGGTTGTCATAAAAGATAAGTCCTAACCTGCATCTGAGGAGTCCTCCTTTTATTTGGATGATGGGTCACTTTTCGAGTGTAATAACGTCACTTCACTTCCTGGTACAACCCGTATTTCGCGCAGCCCTAAACATGAAGCAGATAACACGAAGGACTCAGAAGCAATGGTTGTGTAATATAATACAACGTGTAAAGTTGGTGTTACTACCTGCTTTTGAACACTGCTACAAATTACATATTTATCTCTTGAAAAATAATTAAAAAAGACTTTGTACCAAATCGGTCGGAACTGCTCTTTGCGTGCATTTCCACACGGAAGACGATTAATGTAGCTAGCGAATGTTGCTGTGGTCACGTGTGTTTTGAAAAAGTTCATGCGCGTGGAACAGAGGCGAAACGAGTTTAACGTCGCGGCTCGTGGCAGTAAGCGTTATATGTGCGGATGAATCCTCTACCGCTCCCAGTCTTAGGCTTATATTAACGTTTATTAACATTTATTAACATTTATTAACATTTACCACCGCTGGGGACGATAACTCCTCTCTGGCTAACGTTAGCGCGTACCAGCGCTGTCGCATGAGGTTGGGGTTAGACGTTGGTGCGGTTGGTTTCAGTTAGTTTCAGTTACACGCTGTGTTAACAGATTGTTGTCTTTTAAAAATGGTGTTCTTCACCTGTAACGGCTGTGGGGAATCCCTGAAAAAAGCCCAGGTTGATAAACATGTGAACATGTGCCGGGGCTGCCAGGTCCTGTCCTGCATCGACTGCGGAAAGGACTTCTGGTAATGAGTCTTCTTCTTTTCTATTTACATTTTTTAGCTAAGCTTTGCTAGATGGAACTTCTTAGCTTTAGCCGCCAAGCTCACGGTGCTCATTGTGTGTATATGTTTCTCTGTACGTGCTGAACAGGGGTGATGACTACAAGAACCACAACAAATGCATCAGCGAAGATCAGAAGTATGGAGGCAAAGGCTACGAGGCTAAGGCAAACAAAGGAGATGTGAAACAGCAGCAGTGGATCCAGGTAACATGCAGAGAAACGATGCTCACCGATGTTTATGTTCTGCAGGTGTAACTTAAGTAGGTAAAGAGAGAGTTATTAAAACTTGATGTTTCTTCTCCTGCAGAGAGTCCAGGAAGCCATGAACAAACCTGGAGTCAGTGCAAAGCTAAAGGATGTGCTCAGACAAGTCAGCACATATGATAACGTCCCAAGGAAGAAGGCTAAGTTTCAGGTTGGTGTTTCTGCAAGCTGTACTAATAATTTTGGGTTTTATTGTGTGACAAACTGTTGTAACTTCATTGTATTTGTCTATGTTTGTGTAGCAGGCTTGTTATAATATCCATTTTGATTTTTGGTCTTGTTCCTTAGAACTGGATGAGAAACAGTCTTAAAATAGCTAACACCAGTCTTCATGATGAAGTGTGGGACATTCTCGCTGCAGCTGATAATGTAAGTTACTCTGCCTAAAGGATCCTTTTATTGTTGTTTGTTGGGCTGTTTGCCTGTGCATTTCACTCACTGTATGTCCGCATAGAGCAGATGAGGTGAACAACTAGTTTTAGTTTTTAGTTCAAATCAAAAGTAATGAAATTCAGTAGAAAGAGACTCTCAGTGGCTCTGATGTACATAAGAAACATTCTCAGGTTTTTACAACCTTTGAGATGGCTGGTCTGTAGTTCTGCTCTGATAGCTGTGAAATGACATGCTCCTTTCATGATAAATTCCTTGTGTTTTCAATATGCCTGACTTTCATTACCCACCCATTCTGGCAGCCTCCCGAGGCCCCCCAGGAGACTAAAGAGGCTAAACAGACAGTGGCTGCAGTCAAAATGGATACTAATGGAAATGAAAAGCAGGACAGCCATCCAGACGTTGAGAAGAAGAAGAAACTGAACAAACGGGAGCGTAAAGAGGCCCGTCAGCAGAAGAATGGGAAGGTTTTGAAAGGTGCTGAAAAGACTGTTGCACAGGAGCCAGAAGAAGATCAGACAGGCAAAAAGAAGAAAAAGGACAGAAAGAGAAAGCACAGCTCTGAGGAAGAGGGAGATGAAGAGCAGAACGGGCATGGTGCTGAAGATGAGACATCCAGCAAGAAAAAAAAGACAAGTAAGGAATTTTCTAAAAGTCTACTCACAAACTGTTTCTGGATGCTGTTCTCCTTACAGAATTATCTAATTAGCCACTTATGTTAAATACATTTTTAAAGGACAATTGTATTCTTTTTACCTTTTTAGATGACCAAGAGGAGTCAGATGAGACTGAGGACCAAGCAGTTCCCAAAGGTATGATGGTTCACTACAGGACTTGTGTATATATATATATATATATATATATACTATATAATAAATAACAGTGTAAAAGAGTGAAGCCACCAGAGGTCAGCATTGCTTCTTTTTTTGACAGTGAGGAAATGACCCCCAGTGAATATCCCCCCCCCAGCACCTTATTTATGTGTCCGATGAACTTTCAGGTAAATTCAACTGGAAGGGAAATATAAAAGCTGTACTGAGAGAATCACCTGACCAGGAGCTGCCAGTAAAGAGGCTCAGGAAGAAGGTGAGACATGGAGTGTTTTAATTACTCTGTGCACAACACCACATTTGACTTCTAAACCCAGCATGTTGTTCTTGTAAACATTATTTGAAAATAAGAGTTGTCCTTGGTCCTGATGTTAAAAACTTGTTTCTCTTTTACAGGTTTTGTCAGCGTACTACTCTTTCACTGGTGATGGAAATTTTAAAACTGAGGAGGATGTGCTAGCACTTTTCAACAAGAAGATCAACAACAATCCCAAATTTAGAGTCTTGAAAGACCGAGTTAGACTTGTAAAGTAGATATGTTTTATCTCACCCGTCTGGCATGAAATGTATGTTGTTCATAGACTTTTACAATTTAAACGCCATTGTTGTCTGTCATCTTCGCTTGGATGTTTTTATACAGATGACATAATCTCAAAGATTAAATAATTTTCTAACTGAATTACGTGTCCTGTTCCTGTTCAGTCATTTTACTAATTGCATTGGCCTAGTCAGCATGGGGAAGACTTACAAATTACCTTACAACATGTCCGTGTTGTTTAATGTATAAAATGACAATTGTGATAGACGGCTCCTCTGTTTCACATTCCAAGCCCACAGTAAGGCTGGGAAATGGCACCTTATCTGTGGGATTGGATGTTGGAGTGGGGGAAGGGAAACAGGAGAGGTGCACCTGAGGTGAATTTGACTCTCACACGGGACGAAGCTAATGCACATTCCTCGGCACCCCGAACGGGGTTCACTTGGCCAGGTACACAGAAGCTCCATAGAAGCAAGACGCTTGGTGTCAGCCTCAGGTGAAGTTTTAATGCTGTCTGATTTTCCACTGCTAGAATGAGCAGCTTCTTTACCCTGTGTATACACACGCGCATGCACACACACACACACACACACACACGAGGAGCTACAAGAGGAAATCTGCCCAGCTTTATGAAGCTCTGCTAATCCCAGCAGGTTTAACACAGATGCTCATTCATCACACTGCTTACCTGTAATTGTATATTGCATACTTTGGGTATTAGTCAAGCTGTTACTCAAGTCTGCTAGTATAAATTGTGTTTTCTAGTCCTCAGTGGGACTACGTATTGCTTAATGCCATTGTTTTAATCCAGACCCCACAGGATACTCAGAGAAACTGATACTAAACCTGTCTTTACTGTTTCAAAACATCAGGTCAACATTTTATTACTGCCATTAGGTATTCCGGGATTAACTGTATGACCATATGGGTTCCTTGAGCATTATAGTGAGAATATGTAACTTTATAACTTAACTAAATTACAAGTTCAATTCATAAGTACTTGTTCATTTGGTATGACCATTAGCCTTGTGCTAAAGTTAACAAACTTGAGATTGAAATGTAACTCAGACTCCCGACCAGAGGTAAGTACTTTTGCAGTTGCCAGGAGTATGTGAAAAGATTGTGGAGTAATTTAATAGAAAAAAATAAAAATAAAAAACTCAATATATTGACACTTAAACAGTAGATGTTTAGTGTGTGGAAGCTAGCCATCTAGTCAGCAAGCAGAAAAGCCTAAATATTTATCTTAAAGTAAAAGAAAAACAGCTAAAAATGTATGATATTGAAATAAATGTATTTATAAATGGTTGAAAGTAGCAGCTACATGGTGGAAATAGCCAAGAGTAATGGATAAATAGTTGAAAAGGTTAGCTTAAATTTGTCTGACAGGGCTGTAACGGTATGTCTGGAAAAAGGTTGGGAACCAGTATAACTGACATTATCCAGCCAGTTTCCTGACTTTATGGCCGTTCTCTAACTTGTGCCACTGTTAACAGTATGTCAATAATGCCAGACAAGTAATAAATGCAATACAATTGTCTTTGAATTTTTCATTATCCTGTAATTGTCACTAGTAGCCATTGTTCAGCCAAAGTTACACAGTGTCACTTAAATGTTGTCATTACACAGAAAGCACTGTACTGCAGTGACCTATTGTATGCTGCTTGTGCGGAGGTGATAAACATGACCGGGTATTTCTTCTCTTACTAATCCCCAGGGTAAGAACCAGACTCCTAAAGGATGGCATCTCAGAGTATGAGATCTTATCTGGTGCATCTGCACAGGAACAAGAAATGCTCATGGACGCTAAGTAGCTGAAGACCCTCTTACCTTTACCTGTTTGTGGGCAAAAGTCCATCGTTTTCCCTAAAGAAACAAGAGGTCCTTTTACCCTTTTACTATAAACAAGGGTGGTTAAATATTACTAATACTAAAACTGTCCAACAGCACCACAAATTACAGGCTCCAAAAACGTTTACCTAAAGCTTAACATTATACCTTCACAATGGTAAGACTCATTACAGGATTCAATGTTAGACTGAATCTGTTTTAGACGTACCTGATAAACTGGCAACAGAATGAAGATTGCCCTAAGTGGGTAGTTGTGACTCCCTGCTACAGAATAAGTGATATCAACCAACAATACAGTGGTATCCACTTTTCTTCCCTGCACATGTCCAGTCTTTGCCTCGTGGAAGAGTTTTAGATTGAGAGTGAAATGGGACAAAGGTATCAGCAGTGTCCGATTCTTTCCAGCGCCATGTAAAGGTATACATTCAAGATAAACTTTGGAATACAGCCAGCTACTATGCATTCTGCAAAGTTTATGAGGGATGGGAGTTATGCGCCCTGTCAGACATGCTTGTTCAAATATCCTTTTGAGGGTATAGTTTACTGCCAGTCTGGTGGTCCAGTTTGTTTGATGCTGTTCGTTTCAACAGACTTGCCTTGTGTGACAGCCTGCCTACATATGCTATTCATCTCAAGGGTACAGATAATGAACTGAATTAACAATAATATTTCCCTTTTGGCAAAGGTTGGATGTAGCAATAATAAAATGTGTTTATAATGTAAATATAATGTTTACAGTGTATGCTTTACAAGCTCTATATTGTATTTACTATTGAATAATTAGCTACTCTTTGCCAAGTTTAGTATTCATGCATGTAAACAGAGAAATAACCATTGTTTTCTAAATGTCAGTTTATTTTATTTATTAGCACAGGTAACAAAAATGACATTACATTGAACATGCAAAGTTTTTAAATGCAGAAAACTCCTGCACCACCAAAGTTGTTCCATTTTTACTTCTCATATATTCTTTTAATTAAAATGTGTTTGTGTATCTGAAGCATATTGATTCCTGCGGCCTTGACATTTGTTAAACTCAGTCATTTCTAATGCAAAAAAACAAAAAAAACACAAAAAACTACAACTGTCGCTTTCAAGTGCGTCATAAGAAAAGCGACCCTGTCTCTAACAGGAAGTGTGTAGTCACTAGCTAGCCTTTGGAGCTACTGTAAGTTAATACAACATCTTCACATAATGCTCAACGACAGTGAGCTGGCAACGTTGCGAAATAGATTTAAGAGAGATGCGGAGTTTCTTATGCAAACAACGACATCGGGTGACGAAGATGAAAAGAGTAAGCTTCAGAAACATTATGCTGGCTAACGCTGTTGTCCAACTTTAACTGAGCTAGGTTAGTTTCCCGACAGAGCCACCCGTTAACGCTTTCATATAAACGGTATAAACAGTGTTGTACGGTCCCGGTTCGGACACTGACATCCTCACTGTAAGGGTCCAACAGGCATAGCTTGATGGCTAACCTGAGCAAAACAGTGTAGCTAGAGAAGTAGCTAACCTTTGTGGTGGTTAAATCTGTTGAATGGCCATTTTGTAGTCCACTGACTATACATAACCTTATTCTCTGAACAACTTGGCGTTTTTCTTTCATAAAAAGAAAGAAAGACATCTACTCTTTGTAGGGGTTGTAGGCAGCTTGTACAGTGGACAATTGTCCAACTTTGAGGCCCTCACTGGCAGAAACCCAGCAATTCTTGATTGTTTTGACTGTGAGCAAACGCTGTGTCAGCTCAGCAACATAATACAGGGAAACTCTACTCCTACACTGTCCCCAATCCAAGGGTCATCTCTCTGCCACTGTAAACTGATAAGTCTAATAGCAACAGACAAAACATTTGTCCAGTGGTCATCTCTCCGTTTTTTTATCAATGGCTGCATATATTCCAGTTTTACATACCATCAGTGGTCCTTCTGGCAAGAGGACTTGGTATGTTATAACTTAAGATGGACCACCAAGCATTACTTTGATTAAAGATGTGGGCCAACTTCTTGTTTAGGGCATGGAGTTCATTGTGAACTCTGCACAGAGTAGACCAGCATGCTGAAGCACTTCAGCAGCCAACAACAGGCTGTGATACATTTAATCAACCAGTAAATTATAGAGATTAATAGCTCTCTGAGAAGTAAGATTATCTCAAAGAAAGCTATCAGTTTCACCTCAAAAGCTCCTTAAAACCTGAAAGGTGGGGATTTAGCACATTCTGTTAAGGCAAGCGAAATCTCATATTTGTTAGTAAATTCTCTACCGTACTGTAACCCTTTCAGTGCCTCTTAGTATTCAGTTTTCTTTTAGTGAATGCTACCACTGCTTTGCTCGTTGTCTGAACATCTAAAAATGTAGCCAAACTTATGTGAGCATATTAATTGTTGCATATTTTGTTGTCATTGTTTACTTGGATCGCACACTTTTCCAAAGTCTGTGCTCCTAAAGTAGACTCTTGTTTTTGACACTCTCTTTCTTTTCTTTTACATTTCAGGTCAGGAGGAAAAAGATGCTAAACCTCTCCCTCGCATTAACAGACACTCCATTTTCTGGATCGTGGCGTCTATAGGTGTGACCTACTATGTGGATTTCCTCCGCAACATCATGGAGAACGAAGATATCAAAAGGTGAGTTACGAGGAAGACACAAAACTTTCCATGCGGATCTTGTTCACTGATTCTCTATTCCCAGTTTATGAACACTCAAAAGCAAATCAATCTTTTGTATTTAAATCAGTAAGATACCGTAAATCAATGTTCTTCCTTTCAACTCCTATTTTTCCAGTTGGTGGTTCAATGTGGGTCTGGTACTCCTCGTGATCTGCCTGTCTCTGGCCATGTTTTGCATTGTGTACCTGGAGTGGTTCAAAGGCATCCAGCATTATGACCTAGAGTACCCTGCCATTCCTCCCATCACCACTGCAGCCTTTATTGCAGCATCCTGCAGGTATAACTACAAAATAAGTAAACTGCACTCACACCCAGCGTCCTGTAATCCTTCCAGGTTCATAAAAGATTTGATATATTTGTAAAAAAGCAGTTTATAAGAACCCTTGACATACTGATCATGTGTCCAAATTCTTTGGATATTAGTAAACTGAACGTATATGTTGTGGTATTTGATATCATCTCACTTATAATATTTATTATGTAAAAACAAAAATATTTTAGCTCATATAATCAACCACCAACAAAGTGCTCTACCTGTTGAAACTCCACCATTTGTCTGTATATCAGTGAAGATCAGGATAGACTGATGAGGTAGGAGTGATCTCTTTCTTTCTGGGTCTGTATCTTAATACAGTGTGAGGTGGGACCCATTTTAGCAGTACCTATTCTTATCGGTGGTTGACGAGGGGCTGAATAGGGCAATGATTACGACTGTTTATGGCTTACATGATCAAATGCGAAATGTGAAATTCTTTAAATCATGAACCCATTTTCATGTGAACCTCTGTTGATTGGAGCCACTAATTAGAAGATAATGGGTACCTGTCAAATGCGAATTTGACAGTGTAGGAAGAACCTGTATACAATTCATATTTTAAGATTGATCAGTACTAGTGTACTAATACTAGTTGTGCATATTTGTAATTTTTATTGTACTTCCTTTACAGCTTTAACATGGCACTGTGGCCGGTGTGGTCCTTCTTCACACCGCTCATCCTCTTCACGCAGTTCATGGGTGTGGTCATGTTCATCTCTTTGCTTGGATGAATGTGAGGGGTGAGGTTGGAACGCTGTTATTTGAATTTTCACAAAATGACTTTCATTGAATGAATAACACTGCATTTGGCCTTAAATTGTTTTTTTTTTTTTAAATTAAATCTTGTGTCATTAAACATTGTTTAATACCAGTGCTGCATACTTGGAGAATTTGAACTGTACATCATCTTTTTAACCACAGTGTTGCATTTCGTTTTTACAGTATTCCTCCATTGCTTACACATATTACATTAAACAATGCTCAAGTTGACATCTGCATTAACATTCTTTACTACACTGGTATCACTACAGAAAACACACCTTCCAAAAGCACTTCAACACCAAAGCTAAACACACACTACATCAGTCCGCACACACATACACGCACATCTGCCTTCGTTCGAAGTCAGAAAAATTAGTGTTTTTATTATAAATGGTTATTATTTTTATTATTAGGATTTAGAAAGAAAATTCTCGAAATGTAGAAAAAAGAAATAGAACTGGAATCATAACATTAGATCCTGACCGATATTTCAATGTGACGATATTGGCCTATTGCAGACATATGTATGCGTAAAAAAAAAATGTCCAAAAGTGTAATCCAGCAGAGTGCACTGCCATTTACAATAGTGTAACAAACAGCACACGGTAAGAGAGAAACAGCTCTCAGCAGTGTCAACTAGAATTGGTCAAACATTAACCATATCAGCTGCCATATTGGTAATTTTTCCCCTCTAAAATCAGTGTCGGTACCTCTCTCAAAAATCCCATATTGGGATATCTGCCTCAAGTTGGAGTATTCTCTGGGTCTAAGAGAGAATATACACTTACCATACATAAAATATATAGATGTCTTATGTGCAATATAATATATAACAATGGCACATAACACAAGATAACTGTTTATACTTATTTGGACATATTGTTTTCCCACACAGTTTCAAACAATTTTAGGTCATTATGGTGAAAGTGTGCTTCATTAAGGAAATAAGTATATCTGCTGAGAGTTGTCTGGACACGCCGACCAGCTTCCATTCCCATGGTTCACCACATGGCCAACAATAGTGGCTTGAATTTCATTTTAAACGTATTTGCCTCGTTGCTCGTACGTCCTCTCCCCCTCTCTGCCTCTCACACGTTCCTGAGATTGCCTGTTGTAGAACTACAGCTGCAGCAGAAAAAGATCTTGTTGTGAGAATATCAGACCCTTATGTTGAATTCAACACTGCTGTTGTCATTTGGTGTTGATGGTCTTTGGGGCAGGTCGGCATTGTAGGATCACTTGTAGGTGTTGGTGTGCTGAGAGTTGAACCTTTTCAGTTAATGATTAGTCATTGTTGTGTTTTCCTAAAGAAACAATGACAACTGTGTCAAGAAATGTGATGCATTGTGTTATGTGTTTGGCAAACGGCACTTAGGAGTTTTGAAGTCAGTGTCATGAATGTTTGAGAATAGCCCTTTTTTACAGTGGACATTTTGAGTTGTTTTAGTAGGAAAGGCTGTTCCTTAATAACCTTTGTTATTAATAACATTAAAATGAATCTGCTTTATTTAACAGTAAGCCAGCATGCACCACACCAGGACTGCGAAGCTGAAGCAGCTAAATGGAATTCAGCCATGTTTTACATTTACACCTGTGCTTTTCCTACTGTGACATGAACAAATGTCTTCTGTATAAAAGGTCTGCTGTTCTTATATGTAGAAAAATGTGTGTGAGCAAACTTCCACCATTTTTAAACCAATATTTTTAAATTATTTTTTATTTTTCTTGGAACAGTTTGTGGTGAAGAATGTAAAGACTTCTCATATTCTGTATGTTTTCTTTAATAAACTTTTATAACTCATTTCACTACGTACCACTCATCCTTTCTTGATAAAGCTCAACCCTGAACAAATCTTTAATTTAATAACTGCAACAGTACAAGATGCAAAGTTGGACCTGAGACTGCAACTAAAACATCCCTTAAATCCAGATTAATAATTTTAAAATGTTCTTTTGCACTTTCTATTACACATGGTCAGTATGATATAGACTCACCATTTTACCATTTTATACACCTGTCAAATCTAATGCAATCCAATACAGTATCCCTGCAATATATTCTATCTTACAATGCTCAGTGTATTGACACTGTCAGAGAGATGGTGGTGCAGCTGTGTGTATCTCAATATAATGTGACCGCTGGATTACTGGACACTAAAAAACAATAAAAAAAAACAACAGTAATGTTGTATTTAGAAAAGGTCGTTCTTATATCGAAATAATCCATATAATTATTATATCATTTATATCTAAACGTTTAAGGGCCTGTTTGTCATAAAGACACTGAAAAACCTTATTAATTTGGAAAAATGAAGCTTCTTACATCGTCCCTTTCAGTTTGACTTATTTCTCCAGTGTTGATAATAGAGGTTCAATTATACAAGTGGTATTCCAATTGTTTGCTTGAGTAAAAGTTAAAAGATATATCAAGAAGAAGCTTCCGTTTTATAAGTGTTCAAGCAGATTCAGGCAAGCAGCAGGCTCATTTCACAGTGATATAATATATGTTTTATGGTTTTGGATTATTTTCAATGATGCACCAGTACACCTCATTTTAATCTTGTCGAGATAAATTTAACCAATTTGTTGCGCTCTTTAATCATCATTCAATCATAGAAATATAAAGTAGCATACAATGGGAATAGCCTGCTCAAAGAAAGTACAAATACCCCATATGGATCTTTGGCTTAAAAAAACAACACATTTGTCTTTTTAAAGATGACAACACAGCTTTTACAGTGAATCACACTGATATTGATTTGTCCACAAACTGCACTCAGATCCAACGAGGTTGTCTTGGGGATGTTCCTGAAGTGCAAACAGCAGATAGCGTGAACTCTTCCAGATTAAATCAAAGTGTTCAGACTTAATCAGTCACCCATTTAAGGGGCTGATAAAGTCACTGATAGTCACTCTTTTTCTTTATCGCGCTGATTCTCAGTGATCAAGAAATCAATGGAGAGCGGATGGGGCAGAAATGTGCTGTTAAGGAGTATACCTTGATCATCTTCAACCCTCGTGATGCTATTGTGGAGTGTCCCCCTCATTCTGACTAATGAGAGACAGGGAGTTGCACAAGGTTGAAAATAACACCCCCACAGCTGCGCACGCGCTAAAGATTGGTTTCTGTTGTTTCCCCCACGTGCCACGCGCAGAACTCAGATGTCCCACTGAAGGAGAATAAGCAGAATTTCTGTCTGAATTATAAGAACTTATGCAGGCCTATCAAATGCAGAACTGAAGCCTGTTTAGGGTCGCGGGCGGCACGCTGTTTACTGGCGCATGGTCCTTATCCCTCTGTTTGTTGTGTGTTTATACAAATGGAGAGCAAGTTACTTCAGTGTTCATTGTTTTTTTTATTTAACTTGAGCGGGAAAGTGACATTAATGGATACCAATATGAGTAAAATAATACTATTTCGGGCGGCTGCACTAATTAACCACCAAAGACTCTCAGCATATTCCATCAACCCAACCATTTGCCCCCAGCGGCTTATTGCTTTTAAAAAAATGTGTTCTTGGAGTCCAAGTTGCTTGACTGGGCTGACTCAGGAGTCCTGAGGGACTGACAAGACTCCTAAAGCAGAATAGAAGCTATTGTGAAGCCACTGAGATACTGCATGTATCCATTTCACTAATTGTGTCTCACTTTTTAATTAGGCGTTTTTTTTTTCAAAAAAGGAGCCATATTTGTGTTTAAAATAAATCGATGATCAATAGGTCCTGAATACCACCCCCATCGACTCTTAAATTCACATCACACCAATCGCCTCTGCGCAGTCCTACTATTGTTATGCTGATTGCGCGCATCCGCCCAAGCTGTTTATATAGGACCAGAGGTTACATGGTCTCATCCATATGAGCTCTCAGTGCTGATGGCCTCAGTGCTCTCCTTCTTGACATCCACTCACAAAAAGCTATTGTGAATTTGACCAATGAAATCTGATTCTTCTTTTTTCCACCTTGAAAGCAAAGTTTTCAACCAGCACATCTCCACCACAAGTTGGGCATAAGGCTTTGAGGAGGTGGCACTTGGATCTGAAGCGCTGTTAGGACAGGTCATTTGCCTCCAGCCTGTAAAAATCGCAGGTTTGGGAAATGTCATCTTTCTTTTCATCTCATCCAGACCTGCATGCTTAACACCCGATAGCTACCCTGAGAGGATTTCAGCAGATTTGGAAAGACTGCCTGGCAGCTGCTCTGGAGAGGTGGATTTGGGCGTTTTTTTTCTGTTATTGTGGATCACTCCGTGCTTAGTGTTTTTGCTTCTTTAGGCGGTGAATGGTTGGCACAGCAAGCCCAGTGATTCCTCTGAAACATATGGGAGTTTCAAGAGGACGGGGGTCTGGGATCACCAAAGACTGAAACGCAATCTCCCATTTTCAGTGACTCAGCGAGCCTGTTACGCGAACAGATATTTCAGTTTCAGGGTTTCAAGATGACAATGGCATCTATCAAGTCCATTGAAACTATGCGTGGCCACTGAGCCGGACCTTGAAGATTGAATGAGCATGTTTGGCACAGTACCTATTCGTCTGAATCCCCACCTTGTAGCAACAGGTTACGCACCTGGCCTCCCTCAAATGCACTTATAGCGCGCGGCTTTGACTTGACTCTTCTCTCGGCTCTGCGATTTGTATACATGTCTCCCACCATGGTGGAGCACAGCGGCCTGGACATTATGTGCCTGAACAAATACTGTCACAGTTCCTCCTCGTCGTCCAGCTCCGAGCACGACAAGAAGATTTTCTCCAAACTAAAACGCAGTTTGTCAGGGGACTATCCGAGGAAGAACGCAGAGATCCTCAGCGGCCAGTACGGGACCAATGTGCTGCTGATCGGGGCGGCGTTGATGTTGGCTATTGCGCACCACGGCCCCTCTGTCAAGGAAGAGCACCTGCTGTCCTTTGTCACCTGCCTCATGATCCTACAGCTGATCTGGATGATGTGGTACATCCTGGTGCGGGACAGACAGAAGAACACGCGGACAGAGAAAGATGTCCACGCCACCACATGCTGGATAAGAGGTGAGTTTGTAAAATTACAGCAGTAAATGCGTAAAATAGCAAACTGGTGTTATTCTTTTCCATGGGGTTTGGAGATGACAGAGGCGTACTTTAGGCTATTTCTTTACGCATGTGATAATCCAAAACCACAATATTGGCTAGGACTAAGGGATGTTTTGTGCTTGAGAAATTAAAGAAAACCTGAAAAAATGTTAGTTTTGCCATGTAGCCATTGAAATAATTTATTTATTGTTTTTCTTTGTAGGTGGTTTGACGCTCCTCGCACTCCTTTCACTGATTATGGACGCTTTCCGAATCGGGTATTATGTTGGCTATCAGTCTTGTGTGTCGGCGGTGCTCGGGGTATATCCTGTCATCCATGCAACTCACACCATAGCGCAGGTAAGTTTACAACCCCGCTTTAATTTCAATAAAGTGATAATCTTTCAGCAGTGTAAGACACTGTGTCTTTTTTCTGTGCACCGCTTAACCAGGTAGGCCTTTGAATAATGTGCTCTTTGTTGATGAGGCGAGTTGCTGCAACAATATAATCCTATCATTGTCCACGTTATTTGAGTGTGGCTGCATATGACAAGGGAAATCCTTCTGGTAAACGGACTTTAAATCCCTCTCAAGTAGATTTAAAATGCTTTAATTTGCTATATTTTGAATAATGTTTTCTCTAACTTTTTATGTTAAAGTTTTCTGTCTTGTTTTTTGTGTTTTGTTCAGGTGCATTTTCTCTGGTTTCACATCAAAGATGTCATCAAGAGCTTTGAAACATTTGAGAGGTATGTGAAATATGTGGTATTATAATTTAACTTTAGTTGTCATATTTAATATGTTAATAGCTGTATATATCTTAGTATATTTACCTCACTCCGCTCATTCTGTTAATACTGTTCATAATGTAAATATCCTGTCAGTATATTCTATATATATATCTATAATGTTATTATTACTTTTTTACATATTTTTGTACATATGCACATTACTCTGCGCCTGACTGCTTTGCACTTCTGGTTAGATGCTAACTGCATTTGGTTGCCTTGTACCTGTACTTGTGCAATGACAATACAGTTGAATCCAATCTAATTTAATCTAATATTCATCTTTTTGCACCCAAAAATAATGAAACAACATTTTTGATATGACAGTCATGCGATAACCAGCGATTAAAGAATGTGCACTATATGAATATGCATGCACATCAATTCATCCTTTTTCATAACACTGCCACATGCTGTTAGATGACTGGTCATCAACCTAGTTGTCACCTTGTTTGTCTCTTCAGATTTGGTGTAATCCATGCAGTCTTTACCAACCTCCTCCTGTGGTGCAACGGTGTGATGTCAGAGGCCGAACACTTCTTGAACAACCATAAGAGAAGACTCTCCGCCCTGGGTTATGGAAACCTCACTATAGGTAGGGGCCAAGGGGTCGATTGCTGGCTTGTACCGCGAAGAAAAGTACAATAGCCCACTTGAGAGCTCACTTCAATGGATGAAAGAAAACGGAAGGAGAGGAGGGTTCGTGAAGGGGAAGGGATGTTAGCTCGGCAGCCCAGTGGGTCTTGTTTGTGTCGAACGTCTCTCTATTAGGTTTCAGGAGACACACAGTGTTGCTAGTGCTGAGGCCCCCTCCCCAGCCCTTTCCCTACACTTCAGCCACTGCCGCCCTCCTTGGCAACCCCCCGCTTGACCTCAGACGGCTTTGTCCCCAGGCTGCTTACTCCCAAGGGTGCTGCAATTACAGTAACTGATACATCTAAGCCTAGGGTTGGGGGGTTCGGCTGCTCCTCCTCATATCCGGCTGACTGTGAGGCTGGCTGCACCCTGACTGCTGTTCTCTTTTTAATTAAAGGGTGCAGTACCATAGTGGTGGCCTTTGGGGGGTGAGGGGTAGAAGAGGGTGAGGGAGGGGCACACGGCAGGGTTTTGTTGAGATGATCTCTAGAGGGCAACAGCATTACCATTGCATGATGTGGTGGGCTTGTCAAGGAGTATAAAAAGTGCATTGTCATCAACTTCTAAGACGCTCAGGCATTGAGTGAACTTTGAAATTCAAATCAGTAGAATATGGAATATATAGAATACTTATACTATGTATAGTACTTATGATAGGTACAATATTAAGTTGTATTTGTGGAGTTTTGAGCTGCAAGAGATAGCCTATACCTTTATTACAACACAAAACATGAATTAAACCTTTTATATGCAGCTGCCATCAAAATGATTTCAAGTGTTCTCCCTTGTGCTCACTGAACTAAGGCAGTTCTCAGAAGAGACTCTGTATAACTTTAAATAAGACTGCACTGGTACAAAACATTGTCAACACTCAAGATACTTAATCTGCATTTGAAAATTGATTGAAAACATTTAAGATTAGAAAGGGTTCAGTTGTTATAATTTTTCCTCTTTAGGCTTTATTTTTAATTTTTGGTTTTTAGTGTCTTGCTCCTCCTGCCAGTTTATTATTATGTCCTAATAGCTGGATGTGGTTTTGTTAATGTTGTCTTAAAAGACAAACAGTGTTAATGTAGGGCTGGGTAAAATGTATATATATATATGTCTCATGAATATGCATCTGTTTTTATTTTGCAGTGCACTCAGAGCCTCACTGTAACTGCACCACCAGCACTTGCTCCATGTTCTCCAGCAGCCTCTACTATCTCTATCCCTTCAACATTGAGTACCACATCTTCGTCTCCGCCATGCTCTTCGTCATGTGGCAGAACATCGGACGGACCATTGACCTTTCTTCAAACCGGAAAAGGCTGGCTACCAAAACCCAGGGCCTGACCTTAGGCCCCATCCTAGGTCTTCTTGCACTGGCCAGCACTATTGGGATCCTGGTGGTCTACATCACCCATGTAGAGGAATCCCTCAAAATGCGTCAGTCAGCCATTTCCATGTTCTACATATACGGCATTATCATGCTGGTGTTTATGTGTTCCGCCGGTACTTCAGGTCTGCTTATATACCGAGCGGATCACATACCGCTGGACACCTCCAAAAACCCGTCCAGACAGCTAGACACAGAGCTGCTGTTTGGGTCCTCTATCGGCTCCTGGCTCATGTCCTGGTGCAGCATAGTGGCTGCATTAGGCACCAACAGCAGTCCTCCTTACCGCTGGACCAACCTTGTCTACTCTTTGCTTATTGTGCTGGAGAAGTACATCCAGAACCTTTTTATCATAGAGTCCCTATATCGCCAGCAAGAGGATGGAGAGAGGGAGGACCCTGAGTTACCAGCTGCTCCAGAAATCTTCTCAGTGACATCCTCTTTGGCCCCACCGTACAACGGCATCATCAACCGAGCCTATGAGACTCCAGACAGGGCCTGTGTCACCATGGAGAACGATCAGGAGGAGAGCGGCCAGGTGTACAGATGTCCGAGGAAACCTTCTGAGGTGCCTCTGCCTGTAGGAAACAAAGTAGTGGAGCCCCCAAATATAAAGAGGCAAATCCTGAAGAACATCGCTGTCTTCCTGCTAATGTGCAACATTTCGGTAAGCATTTATACCTGTCAACTGATGATTGAATATATATAACATTTAATTAGATTGAAGTTAGTTTTGTTCTGAAAAAAAAAGAAAAAAGATATTCCTGACCTGCTCAGTGTTTCGGGCCTTCCATCGGCCATCTTGACAAATGTATGTTGCACTTACATCGGCTGACCAATAGGTGGCCCTGTATGGGATAACGTCATTGTGGTGGCTGATGTACAACTATACCAACTGAACCCATTCATATATGTATAAGAAAAAAGCTTTTGAATAACTGTCCTGTTCACAAATAGAAGGGGAATGCCTAACTAAAAAAATTAATGTTCCTTTTCATTCAGTCTTTATATCAGAAGCAAAAATTACAGATTGTTGTACAGATTTAAAGCTGCACTAATCAATACTTTAATTAACAATGGATCAAATGAAAATGTGTAATGTGACAGATGTTACTCGTAGTGACAAATCCACAGAGAATTACCACAGAAGTTCCCCTCAGTTCTGTGGAGCGGTTTAGCATCTTTTCGCACATTGTCTTGGTTTTATTGGCCACTATATTGTTTTGGTTCACTCTCACAGCTCTCATCAACCATGTTTGCAGACATAGATGAAAACTGTTTCCACCAAAAAGCTCTAAAAAACATGGTCTGCTCCCTGCCAAGCACCAAATAGCAGACAATGTTGGCAACTAGCTGGTGAACATAGTGGAGAATTTAGCAGCTAGAGAGACAAATATTTCAAGATTCGGTGGTAACCAAAGCAGTGAAAATTAATCTTGCAGAACATAACTTTGAAACACTACTGTTGCTCTAAAATGTGTAAATAGGCAACTATTTGCTAACAAGTTAGCCACAACAACTTCCTATAGTGGTCATTTGTCAAAATTGTGTATACCGCTTGTTGCACTGCCCCCAAGTGGCCAAAAAAAAAATATATCTATATATATATATATATATATATGAATGCAGCTTTAACTCATTTAATTTATTTCTTTCAGCTGTGGATCCTTCCCGCCTTTGGCTGCCGGCCACAGTACGACAACGGGTTGGAACAGGAGACATTTGGCTTCAGCATATGGACCACAGTTCTCAATTTCGCCATTCCTTTGAACCTTTTCTACCGCATGCACTCAGTTGCCTCCCTCTTCGAGGTGTTCCGCCGGGTCTGACAGAATAGCAGATAACTGACAATGCCAGATAACATGCACAGGAACACTTGTCACCAACGGCTCCCGAGAGTGTCTCACAGCGCAGGTCAACCGTTCAGGAGGCAGCCTGGGTCACACTCCAACAGACTTGAAAGCAAGCAGTGGAGACAAACAAACTGCAGATCCCTCAGTGTGGGGATTACAGAGGAAGACAAACCTATTAGCCTACGTTCCTTGAAAAATTACCTTGTATATTGTGCAAGGCTTACTAAAGATAGTGATAAAATGAACCTTTGGGTTCAAGAATTTCAAAATGGCCCTTTGTACTTTTTGTCATGTAATCACATTGCAGTAGATTTTCCTCACTGGTGCATCATGTTAAATGTAAATGCTGTATCTGACATGCACATTTTGTACTGTTTCATATTAGTAGCTGAAAGTATATCGCAAAAAATACTCCAGCTAAGCCACTGAAACACCTGTTAGTCTCACACATCTAATAAGGTAATAGTACTGTATTTAACAGAGCCACAAGTGCATTGATATACCACTTGACCCATATTTTATCTGCATGTGAAATGTTCATACTGTATATGGATATGGTTCTCATTTACTTTTCTTAGTAGTTTAATAGAACAGTATGCAACACTTGAGCTACAACGATAGTGACAATCTTAGCACTATATTTTATGAGTTGGACTATAGTTCTCAGAAGTAGGACCTGCCTCTCTCAGTAATTTAAGGTTCATTAATGTCCTTTTGTATGCTGATTCTCTGTTCTGTCACATTGAATGGTAAGTTATGTTCAAAATTATGTTACTAGGTAGCACTGTTTTGAATAACTGGAGTCCTGTGATCTGTATCCACATTATGTTGAGAAGTGCAAGGTGAGATAACAAATTTCCTGTCAAAAAAGGCTTCCCTTTTATACCCTGATAACACTGAATTCATGTATGTTAACATGAAAAGGCACTGGTTTAATATTGTTCAAATCAGATGCGTCTACATTATTAAAAATGGTAATCTTGCATCAGAATAGTTCCAGGATTATTACACCAAAACTATATTGGTGATGATCAAATGTTGTTGTGATGACAACTGCAACACCAGACCAGAGATTGTATGTTTACACCTGAAGGATCAGCAGTAAAAACCATCCCTGTCTGTGACATTAATTATTCTTTTAAATATAAAACACAGATATACTGTATACTTGTACTGTAAAATTTTATATCAAATCAATGTATAGCTTCAGTCAGCAAGTTCTCAACCTGGTGCTATCCACTGTCTGTATTCTCGCTATGTGCCAACTTGTGGTAAAATCCTTGTTTTTTTAGGTGCAAACTGCAATATTATGTCATCTTTGTAAATACTGTCATACTGATCAAAATCATTCAGACACTGTGATACAATTTTGTGAAATTCCAATGAAATGGTGCTCATATGAAATGAAGTGTACAATAGTGATGAATGTATATCTTTCACCTATTGAAATAAAGAATAGTTTTCTTTTTGTCTTATACAAGACCTGTCACATCTCTGATGTTCTTATCCTCTTATGTTGTCTGTTCTCAACACTGAAGATCTCTTTGTTGACTGCTCTACAGTTCCACTGAACTTCTGAAATTGGCAGCAATTGTAGTGGAGCTTTGCACCACAGGATGGCGCCACCTATTTATGTTTTTTTAAAGAGTTTGCTAGGACAGCTCCTGTACTATAGGTATCTGCAGCTTGGATCGTTGCTCCATCACTTCTTCATAAATGCCTGCTTCTTACAAAAATCTTAGTAAAACAAACACCCTAAGATAGAATAATAAATGAGAAACTATCACAACAACACAGCTGAGTCTTTAGGTTGTGACTTCATATGAATTACTATATAATATGTTCCGGCAACTATTCAGAATATAAATATTGACACACAACAACTTCATTCATATTGTTCTGTCACTTTGGTCTTAAATGCAACACCAACAGTCTACATAAACGCATTTTAGACATCGACCTCTTTGGCCATGGTTGGAAAAAAACAGTCCCCACACTTTTGATCCTTTAGCACAGTAATTCACTGGCGGGGGTAACATCTGTAGTCTGTATGTAAAGAAGGAAACGTTGTGTCGGACACAGGTTGCCTCTTGACATGACATCCCGAGATTATAGGTTACTCCAGAGAATTTGGCATCGGGCATCGGGAGATTATTTTGCCGTCAAGTCAGAACGATTTGACAGGCACACAGACACATCTAAAAATATCCGTGACGTTTCAAAGCCGGAAACGGCGCTGTTGCACAGACACACGACGACGCACGGCGCGCGCGGAGCTCCTGGCTTTAACATATCCGCTGAGTGTGAATGTGACTCACCTGTTCAGGCAACTCTGAAAAGTGGGTGAGCTATGACCTCCACTCGGCGGTCTTTTAGTCAGAGGGCAAACCACCAGTATTCAGTCTACAAACGATTGATTTTTTTTATCTTCCATTTTTAAAAAGATCAATTCTCGCATTATACCACCAGGCTGAAAAGTATACATTTGAATATAATTATACATATAAAACTCTGCATTGGAGCTTTACACTGAGCTAAAGGAATGGCAGGTGGTGGTGATCATGGTGCTGATGATAAAAGTATGAATCAAATTCAGTCAGTCAGAGTCATTCATGCTGCAAGGCATTAAAACAGCAGTATGGGGGTTAGATAGATAGATAGATAGATAGATAGATAGATAGATAGATAGATAGATAGATAGATAGATAGATAGATAGATAGATAGATAGAGTTCCTGCTTGTTGAAACGATAATGAAGGCATTATGCTCCAGGCTGTTTCCTTTTTCAGCACCATGGACAGCTCTATCGCTACTATTACTTGAGGCTGCAGGAGAGGCTCCGTTCTCTTTACTGTTAAAGTCCCTCCTATTGATTATAATGAATTGTTAACTTCTTGGGTGTGTCTGCAAGCTATATGCAGTACATGAAATACATTTAGAAGCACCCAGTTGCTGTGTATTAGTATTTTTTGTATAGTCCAGATACACGCACTTGGATCCTGCACATTGTCACCCCTGCCACATAAACAGTCCGCAGTTGGCAGACAGGTTTTCAAAGACGACTGATTTAGAGTTTGTAATTACGCACTGTGAAACACGACGATGAAAAACCCCTCAAATGTTGAGGACTTCCTCACACCCCTTTTCTAATGCAGTGCATTGCTGTGCGTAACACCACGCACAAAAGGAGGCGTGATGTTGTCTGCGCCCAGCCCTGGTTAGGTTAGTGTGTGTCAGGCTGCAGGGACTCCCTCCTCACCCACACCGCGCTCAGGATACCTTGGACTGGAGGGATTCACAGAGGCAGCCAGGTCAGACGACCGGACCCAGCAAGGCTGCATCATGCGCTCGCCACTGCTTGCTACGTTTCAGCCCCTCAGCGCACCTGGCACGTCGCTTGGCTCAGTCTTAACGCGCTCACTTATCTCTTTCCGTATGTTTTGCACTCCACATCAGGCTGGCAGCCGAACGGGTCAATGGGGACAATACGGTGAGTGGCTGACAACTGCACCCGTCCCCGCGCACGGAGCAATGGACTGCAGTTTTACTTGAAGAGAGGCACATGGAGAACCCAGCCAAGTATCTGTCATCGGTGCAGGGGATTGACTCTGTGCCGGCACCCCTAGGAGAGATTATGTGGAACAGCACCGAAACGGAGGCAACAGACGACGCGAGGCAGGATATGGTGGTGCGTACAGTGACAGGCTGTCTGCTGTCCCTACTCATCCTATGGACCCTGCTGGGGAACATCCTGGTTTGCTCCGCGGTGCTGCGCTTTCGGCACCTGCGGACCAAAGTCACCAACATTTTCATCGTCTCCCTGGCTCTGTCGGATTTATTCGTGGCCGTCCTGGTGATGCCCTGGAAAGCAGTGGCTGAGGTGGCGGGCTATTGGCCGTTTGGCACTTTCTGTAACGTCTGGGTCGCTTTTGACATTATGTGTTCCACCGCTTCCATCCTCAACCTCTGTATTATCAGCGTGGATAGATATTGGGCCATCTCGAGCCCCTTCCGCTACGAGAGGAAAATGACCCAGCGTGTTGCCTTTGTTATGATAAGCATCACTTGGACGTTGTCTGTGCTCATTTCATTCATACCGGTCCAGCTAAACTGGCACAAAGCCAGCGATGACGACGTGGCCGGGACTCACAACTCTTCCACGAGTCGGCAGATAGAGGAAAACTGCGACTCCAGCCTGAGCAGAGAGTATGCTATATCCTCCTCTTTGATAAGTTTCTATATTCCCGTGGCAATTATGATTGTGACTTACACCAGAATATATCGGATTGCACAAATACAAATTAGGAGAATAGCCTCCCTGGAGAGAGCAGCAGAGCACGCTCAAAGTTGCAGGACCAACAGAATAGAGTGCCAACACCACAACACCTTGAAAACGTCGATTAAACGGGAAACCAAAGTGTTCAAAACTCTGTCGGTGATTATGGGTGTCTTTGTGTGTTGCTGGTTACCCTTCTTCATCCTGAACTGTATGGTCCCGTTCTGCGACAGACCGGCCACAGACAGGGACGCGGGCCTGCCGTGCGTCAGCGAGACCACTTTCGACGTCTTTGTGTGGTTCGGCTGGACCAACTCCTCCCTGAACCCCATCATTTACGCCTTCAACGCCGAGTTCAGGAAGGCCTTTGCCAGCCTCTTGGGCTGTCGCAATTTCTGCCCCAGCACGCCAGTGGAAACTGTTAACATCAGTAATGAGCTGGTCTCATACAATCAAGACACCCTCATCCACAAGGAAATCGCGAACGCCTACGTCAACATGATCCCCAACGTGGTTGAATGTATTGAGCATGAAGAGACGTTTGACAGGATTTCACAGTTTTCTCACAATAATGAAAATGCCACCGACTCGGTTTGTGACTTGGAGGACTGCGAGGCAGACATCAGTCTTGAGAGGATGTCACCGTTCACACCCAATGGATTGCACTAACTCCTAACTTTGTGTCTCCTCGTGCGTAATTGGATGTATTGATAATAATGCCATCGTTCATTCATCTCCTATCTCCTACACGCTTCTCTCCATATGGAGTCCACAGGTCAGGGTTTATACTAAGCTACTGAGCAGAGCCCCTTGCAACTGGTGAGGGATCTATAGTGACTTGCTCACGGACACTGTAGCCACCGGGCCACCCTGCCGCCGCTTTGCGTTATATATGAGATGTGATGTTGTTGTCCTGTTCTGAAAAAAAAAAAAAAAAACAAGTGATGTGTAGGTGTTTATTTACATGACAAGTGAAGTCTTTGTTCATTTGTTCAAAGGTTCAGTGTAGTTGAAGCTGTTGTTTACTCGAAGGCGTCACTCGGAGCGTCTGTGTCTCATGCCCATCCACTTGGAGGGGGGAAATGTTTGTAGAGAATCACTTGAGGAATCATAATGGAGAACCTTTTGCTGCTTGAAAACCTCATGTGTATCCAGTGCCCGTCTTTCCACTGAGTATTGAAAACTGAGGGCAGCCTTACAGTTCTACTCAAATGCAGTCATTTCAGCGCCTTATAGCTTATTCAAAGAAGAGATTTGAAACATGAAAGGAATGTGTGGTATTGGAGTTTAAGTTACATGATGCCAAAATGCAGTATTAACGTGTTTACCCACTGCACCCACCCCAGTGACTCCTCCAGCACTCCCTCTCTGCACCTCATGGACTACATGCAGTTTGGTCCAGGCTCAGATGGCCGGATGCTTTGATGGAGCAAAACTTGATGTAAAAGGAACAAAAAAAAAAAAAAGAAAAGAAGTTAGCCTGTTTACATTGGAATCAGTAATCCATATCAAAGAATTTTACTAGAATTCGCCACAGTCATTTTAACAGTCAAAAGTCTTTTCTGTGATCTTTCATTTCTTATTGAGGCCAAAACGACTGAATGGTTGTGCTATATCAACCACAGCTCTTACTGAACTAACAAAAGAAAAGAAAAGCAAGAATCAAGACTGTCTTAAATGACCAAAGATTTCCAGGAGTGACTCAATAACTCAACACTATAAGGCTACTGCAGTTTGTCAGCTAGAGGAATTGTTGCTATAGAAAACCTACATACACATACACACACACGCGCAAGGCCACTGGGCCAACAAAACTGGATGTCATACATTACCTCTCCCACACCTCTCTTTATCTTTGTACTGTACAGATGACCTGATCTGAATGTATACAACTGTCCTTTAAACAGTGAAGTGTGTCATCATTTGTCTAATAAAATGCTGTCATGCTGAGAGAACAGAATGCTCTGGTATCTTCCTGAAGGTGACATTTTACCACTATGGGTTTCCCAAATGGACAAGGCTTGGAGGATTTTCACCTTTACTTTCATTTTACCCATACACCAGCACTGACTTTACTTTTATGCATGCCCACCTGTGACCCTTCTTCTTTTTTGAATTTAGTTCTTGGAATTTTGCCTCCTTCGGACAGTTTGACAGCAGAGAGAGTGACAGGAAAGGTTGGCAGAGAAAAATAGAGAGCGAGAGCTGACATGCAACAGAAGTCCCCAGCGGACTCAAGCTGGGGACATTGTGGTTACGTGTTGTGCATCTTTTAGGCTGCTGCTCCTCCAGGACATTTCCTGAGACTGACCTGTCTTCCACAGGTTGAGACAGCTGATATATTTCCTCTGGCAGAGCGGCACAGTTTCACATATATGTAAAGTAATAAAAAGAGCAAACACTGGAGCAAAGCACTCCCTGAAGAAGCAGCTCTGCTCTTCATGGTGGTCTATTTTCTCTCTCTGAAGAAAATATCTATACTTAATGTTAAACTCTCCCCTCATACCAGTACTTAAAGCCAGTGAAAGAAGGCAATACTGCAGTAACCACTCTTTGTTGAACTGCCAAGAGCATCTGTCAGTGTCGTCTTTCTGCCAGCAAAAAACAAAACCCACTGTGTGCAAATGCCATCACCGTTTCCATCCTATATAGGTCTTGGCACACATTAGTTAACAGACAAAATACACAACTTTCAACTATGTGAATAAATAAATAAATGAATACATATCAGCCTCTATGTTCCATTCCTACATTTTGTTTTAAAGGTAGAGATGAGTGTCAAGTATATGACAAACTGATGAGAAGAGGGCACGATTAACAATCCACTTCCTGTCTGAGAGCAAAAACATGCAAAATCCAGTTTCACAGAAAAAACTGAAAAACAAAGTCTGTGCCAATTATCTGAGGTGCCCCTGTTCTCCACATGGTATACCACAGGGGAGCCATTTGCTGCAGTATATTCATGTACAAACAAGATCATTAACTCAATACAATCTAACTCATTTTGCATTTTAAAAACTTTCTCTTAACCAGTGGTTTCATGTTAACCCACGTCTGGCCTTCAGCTTCATTCACTGTCATCCCTGTCTAATACACAGGCAGTGGTGGAAGAAGTATTGAAAGCTTTTATTTAAAAAGGAAAACCACATGCCAGAATCATTGACTGAGCTATTGGAAGTCGAGTTGCATTGTTGATAATGCAGGTGCTTGGATCTGACAAGGGAGAAGAATGCATGTAATAAAATAAACAATATCTTTATTTCTTTTTTATTTTATTTCTGTGATTTACCTCATACTTAGAACTGTCCAACAATGTTAAAGGACTGCAATGCTAAATTAGTAAAGTATTGTTAATGTTAATGTAATTGTATTTGTTTAAAGTACCAATACAACAATATAAAAATACTCCTTTACAAATGTCATACATAGAATCATACATTAAGTAAAAGTATTACAAGCTAAATATACCTAAAGTATCAAAGTAAAAGTACTCGTTGTGCAGTAAATTCCCCCTGTGAGTGATATATTATTACAAATCATATTTATAGACATATGCATTGATACATGAGCAGTGTGTTACTGTTATAGCAGGTTGAGGTGAGGTTCATTTTAATTACTTTATTGTGATGCCCATCCCACTATCCCTCTGCCAGGCAGTCTTGTCCAACCTCAGTGGGCAGTTGGCTGACATGGGAGGGTCTTCGGCTGATCTAGTTCACCTGGGACCTCTAGGCTAAAAATGCTGGCCCATGTGCTCACTCTGTCTTTCTTCCTACAACTCACACCCACCTCACGTCCTCTTCTTTTGGTTTGCCCTGTCAACCTTTCCAGAGCAGGCATTGCTTACACTACTGATATCCACACTCCGTTGTCCATTTGTGTTTACCTTAGTTTTAATAAATTACATTTGTTTTAAGTAAATCCCTCGTGCGGACTTCCTTCTTGACACATTCCTCGTGACAGTTTGTGATGGGCACCATAATCCATAATGCATGAAGTTGATTATTATGTTTAATACAACTACTACTAACTCCTATTGTTGTCCATTCAATGTGGTGGTGTAAAATGTACAAGATTTTCCACTGAAATGTGGTGGAGTAGAAGTACAAATTCTTTTAAGAATTGTAAGCAACAGTACTTGAGCAACTGCACTTACTTTTCATGCTTTAACACAAGGACAGATAGAAGATTCTCCTAAGAAATAATGTTAAAAAGATTATGGTCATCCTTTTTAGAGTAAACAGTTCTGTTGACCAGACAGCAGTTAATGCAGTTAAATGATGAAAATATGTATAAAACCTCATTACATAACCCATGCATTGAAATTAAGTGAGGAACTGGGCAAAGACATGCAAATGAGCTGTACCTCTAAATGCTGTTTTCCTGTAAAGTGTCTCTCTTGACAAATTTTTCTAGAAATTTCACCTCATCAGGCGCAAATCTCGCACAGCTGCCAGGGGAATTAGATTAAATGACATTGAGATGAAAGCCTGTTAAGTGAGACCCTGAGCCAGTGTTATTCACCTCCCACCTCCATCCTGATGCTGATCAGTTTCCCCCATGAGATGACAGATGTGCGAGGTCGGGAAGATCTGAGGATCAGGTTGAAACGTAGGTGATATCTCAGCGACAACTCGTCAAACAGTGATTAAACTCAAGATCGCAGACTACACTAGTGCAATTTTGATCAAACTTGAAGGATTGGTGCACTTTGACGCTGCATTTTAAAAAAGTTGGAATGAATAATTGAAGGTCAGCATTTCAAATTGCCATAACTTACCATTACTTCTGCAAGCAGCTGCTGCTTATCTAATTTAACTGAAACTGGAATGATGATACCAAGTATTTCCTGGATTATTTTCATTTTCTACATTTTTTTAAGACAAGTTATCATGATGCACTTAAGTATTTTTTTTAGCAATCACTGACTAAATGAGGAAAAAGTAAGGAAGCAGAAGCATTCCCAGGGGATGAGGCGTTTACTTGTTCTATGTTATGTCCTTGCACTGTGGAACAAATATGAAAGGTGGTCTGACCTCGATATTCAGCCGTGACAGGAGGGCTGGAGAGGAAGTGGAGGCAGGCTTAGGGGGGTTACACCATCCGTCAGGACACATTCATCAAAATCACTCCCTTTTGTCCTGCACACACACACACACACACACACACACACACACACACACACACACACACACATGCATGCATGCACGCACATACAACACACACATTTTCAACACTGATGCACCTACTGTTACAAGAGATTTGCTCTGAATCTCTCTTCACTGTCTCTTTCCTCACACATATACACACACATACACACACACCTACACACACATAAAAAACACATTTTCTTTTGTTTGTTTCAGTATTTCCTCTCGCTTCTCAGCATGCTTTGTACCTTTTTTTTTATCTTCAAATGGTTTGGTCATCTAAGGAAAAGAAGACAGGCAGAAGGCAGTTTAGCTTCCTGTTTCCTTTACCTCTCAGAAGAGCAAGGTGAACACTGTGAGTGACACCACTTTGAGCTTATCAAGAGCGCTGGGTGAATGAACCCTTTAATTACTGTAAATCAAGCCTGACCTGTTTTATCAGCATGATTGACCTGGGAATAACCTTGCCAATATTAGTGTCACGCCACCTCCTCACACAACTACACTTCCATGTTACACTTTACACATTGACTCTTTCAACTGAGCCTAAATTTTAATGAATGCATGTTTTATTCCACTGATAAAATAACCCGTCTTACTGCAGCACAGTCTATGGACCTGCATCGTTAAAGGAGAGACTTTGTTCAGATCACCAAACCGTTGTTGCATATCTGGATAAAAATAGTTCAGCCTTGAAGATCAGACATTTTGCTCTTTGAAACTTCTTCTTTCACCTCTCACTGCCATCCCATCCGCTTCCTATCTCTGACGCAGTCTCGGGTTTTATGTTACTTTCAGTGAGCTTGAATGGAGAGAAAGGCTGGTGTCTTTTTTCCCCAAAAGGCCACTGGTCCACTCTGTATCGTAGCTCTGTGCCCAAACTCTCAAATGGGCAGACTTAAACCTTCTGCTCTGTCCTGCTGATGCAGAGTGCCCCAATGTGCAAAGGGAGGACTTGTTCTTTGTGTTTCACTTTGTTTCTGACATCTTCTCTGTTACTTTTCAGCTGGTGCTATTTAATAATGCAGAGATGGCACAAAGGAAGAAGGCACATTGATACAAACGGTCTTTGAGAATCAGCTTTTAAACATTTTTTATATGATTTGTACAAATCTTGAACATAAAAGCCTAAGGATAATAAGGAATTAATGTTGCACTTTTGGCTTGGAATTAATTTGTAATCCAGCCTAATATCTACATGTGTAAAATGTAAAGCAATATTGAACTCCTCAAATATACATGTAATTAGGGATGCATGGTTCTTTAAGAATTCAGAAATCCAGACAGCTTCATATCTCATAATTATTAAATATGTGTTAAAACTAATCATATGCAAATTATAAGGAAAAAACTCAAGATATAAAAAAAAGCCAGAATTATAGCAGTAATCACCATTTCACTCCAACACTCTCTGACTTAATTTTCCTTTACTTCTGCCTTGGTTTGAGGCAGTGGGGAATGTGTCCTTTTCTTTCTCTATGAGCTTTAATATTCATGACTAAATATGCATCAATCAAAGTTAAAGTTTGAAAAACAAAAACATCCTTGGGTATTATCTATTAAGAATTTAACACTCAGAAAATCTGCATCAGGACTGTATCTGATGTGGTTTGATCACATTTCATTTACAGTGGTCTGGTAACACGAGCATCCAACTGTCACCAGATTTTGATTCAAATATTGCTAAATTGGTGTTCAGAAGTATGTACGTAGGGCAACATCACTCACAGTAAGAAGCTGATTGAAGTATGCTTTCAGTGTCTAGTTAAGTTAAAAAAGATGTATTTTTTATTCTATAATGTCGACATTC